CCTGGCAGAGCTGCTGTAGAAAGGATTTTGCTGCCCAGGCAGGCGGACTTGGCCGCAGCAGTGTGATCATACACAAACCCATGGTGTGTCCCCTATGCCTCTCAGCCAAGCTCCCGTCACACTGCCATCAGGGATGTCATGTTGAAAGAAGGCAGGCCCGGTCCTCAGAGAGGAAGACCAGCTTACACAGATAATCATATGCAAAGTGTGCTGACTGCAATGGAGGAGGAGCACACAGGGTGCTGGGGGAATCCTAATGGGGGCCTGGCCTAACTAGGGGTTGGAGCAGAAAGGCTCTCCCAGGAGGGGAGAGGCTAGAGATCTAAAGGGTGAACGGTCCTCGAGAGGCAAGATAGGAGAAAGGGAATCACTATTTCATAAACCCTGTGGTAGGATGGAGCATGGCTAGTTTGAGGAGGTGAAAGTTTGGGGTAGCTGGAGAAGGGTGAGAGGAAGAGGGACAAAGAGGAGGCTGGCAGTACCCTCAAAATGCCACGTTCAGGAGTCTGACTTTGTCTCGGACAGTGGGAGCTACAAAAGGCTTAAGATGGGGAAATTACCTGGCCGTGTCCAGGGGGAATAAATAGGAGGCTGGAGGCAGGGAGGCCACCAAAGGACCAGGCAGTTGCTAAGGGCAGGTGTCGTGGTGCCTGGGTCTTGGCATGGACAGTGGTGGAACTGGGGGGAAGTGGCAGCCTCACCACTGAAGAAGCAAGAAGGGAGGTCAGGGGACAGGTGGCAGAGGCTGAGGGCTGCGGCTCCTTCCACCATTCAGCAGGTAACAGAGGGGAGGTATGGGCCGGGTGCCAGGGTCCCTTCGGCTCAACAGGCCATGCCAACTGGGTAAGCAGAGGCGGACACTCGATATTCCTCCAAAACAAAATCCTGGTCATTCACACTCCCTGCTGTTCACTGGAGGTGTTTGTTTGTTTTTTCTCCTGGTCTATTTCAGGTCTGACGGGTTTGTGGGGCGAACAGAGCCGGGGCTCAGAGCCAACTGGGAGGGAGAGAGCTCCTTCTTCCTCCAAGACCAGGAAGGGGCATTGCCTGAGCCTCCACTGAAAGCTCTGGGCAATGCCTTCCCTTCTCTGGGACTCCGGCCAGGTTCTGGCTCCAGCCCTCTAGACCCTCCCTTTCAAAGTGAAGTATTATTATTCTTCACCTTTGGGTCCTAGTTTCCAAAAGTGCTTTAGGGTAGAGCGGGGTGGGGCAGCCCTGCAGCAAGGCAGCTTGGCAGAAGCCACTTCCTGACAAAGGACTGATTAGTCAGGGGGTGTAGGTGGCATTCTCTGTTCAGGAAGGGACCCAATCTCCCCTTCCTGTCCTAGATTGGGACCATTCCTACTCTTCTGTCCACATCCCTGGTGTGGGCCATAAGAAGGGTCAGGAGAGCCTGGTGGGTAATCAGCATTCAGAGTCCTGGAAAGAGCAGAGATCTCCCCACCCCTATCCCAAAGCATCAAGAAAATCTTGCTATAGAAAGAGTTCTTCCAGCTGGGTACAGTGTAACCCCAGTGACTCTAAAGGATTGCAAGTTCAAAGCCAGGCTCAGCAACTTAGTGAGGCCCTATGCAACTCAATAAGATCCTGTCTCTAACTATATAAAAAAATATAAAAAAAGGGCTGGGGATGTGGCTCAGTGGTTAAGTACCCCTGGGTTCAATCTCCGGTACTGAAAGAAAAGAAAGAAAGAAAGAGAGAGAGAGAGAAAGAAAGAAAGAAAAAGAGTTCTTACAGCTCAGCATACCTGTGACCTCAGTGACTGGGGAGGCTAAGGCAGGAGGATTGCAAGTTTGAGGCCAGCCTTGGCAATTTACTAAGATCCTGTCTCAGAATAAAAAATAACAGGGCTGGGGATGTGGCTCCGAGGTACAGTGTGCTTGAGTTCAATACTCATTACCTTACCCCCAAAAAAACAAACCCACAAATGATAATGTGTGAAGAAACAGTTCAATTTACTTGAAACCAAAAGGTGAACATCAAAATGTCCTCACACATAAAGGCAGGGGTTTCCAAATCTTTAGAGTTGAGAAATCCTCTGCTAACTTCCCGGAATCCTTCATAATGCTGACAACTATATTCATTTTTCTTTCTTTAAAAAAAAAATAGCAGGACTGGGGTGTAGCTCAGCGCTGGAGCACTTGCAGAGCATGCTTAAGATACTAAGTTTGATCCCAGCCTTGAAAAAAAAAAAAAAAAAAACCCAGCAAAAAAACTTCATAGTGACATACACCTGTAATCTCAGCTGCCCATGAGTGTGGGGCAGGAGGATCACAAGCTCAAGGCCAGCTTGGGCAATTTAGCGAGTCCTTCTCTCAAAATAATTAAAGATAGTTCAGGGTGTGGCTCATGGTAGAGTGCTAGCCAGCACATACTGGCCCTGGGTTCAGTCCCCAGTACAACAAAAAACAAACAAAACCCCTTCATCCCTCCCCTACCTGAGGACGCTAACATGCAGTCGGAAGCTGTGAGAACTCTTAGAACTTTACAACTCTTCCCAGAATAAAGTAGAAAATGTCCCTTTCCAGTGTTCAACTTGCCTTCCCATCTAACCTCTCCCCTTCCCTTCCCTGGGGAAGGTCTTGGAACAGTCACGTTGGCCAGGGTCCCACAAGGACTCATCTTTTTTTCCCCCCTATCAGCGGGAATTAAACCCAGGGGTGCTTAACCACTGATCCACATCCCCAAACCTTTTTATTTTTTTACTTGTTTTCTATTTTGAGACAGGGTCTCACTAAGTTGCTTAGGGCCTTGCTAAGTTGCTAAGGCTGGGTTTGAACTTGTGATCCTCCTAATACCTTAGTCTCCTGAGTTGCTGTGATCATGGGTGTGCACAATATTTGGCTTATTCCAGAATTTAACTAAGGATTGCTGCATACATATAATGAAATGTCATTTCTGAAATATTCTCAGGTTTAGGGCTGGGAATGTAGCTCAGTGATAGAGTGCTGGCCTAGCATGCACAAGGCCAGCAAAAGAAAACTCCTCAAGTTTATTCAGCTGGAAAATATAAAATGGGCGCAATCATTCTTGACCCAGAAGTTTGGGAGGACTGTGGGTAATAGGGAAGACCGTTGGCACAGCACCTTGTGTGTGACATATGCTGCACCGTTTTTCTTTCTTTTTTTTTTTTAATATTTATTTTTTAGTTTTCGGTGGGCACAACATCTTTGTTTGTATGTGGTGCTGAGGATCGAACCCGGGCCGCACGGATGCCAGGCGAGCGCGCTACCGCTTGAGCCACATCCCCAGCCCTGCACCATTTTTCTTGAAGCTGCACGGAGCAGGCTCCTTCTCACCAATCAGGTTTCCAGGTGACAACTCCTCCAAGAGGCCTTCCTAGACCACCTTCTTAGGTGGCATCCCCCCATGTCTGTCACCTTATTCCATCTTAATAGTTGTCTTAACTGAAGCCGTTTTATGTATGTTGTCTTTCTCCCCAGCATGAGAATGTAACGAGGGCAGGGAACTTGAATATCATTTTTTTTTAAATATTTATTTTTTAGTTTTAGGTGGACACAATATCTTTATTTTATTTTTACGTGGTGCTGAGAATCCAACCCAGTGCCTCACGCATGCTAGGCGAGTGCACCACCACTTGAGCCACATCCCCAGCCCCACTGAATATCATTTTTTTAAAAAAATTTAAAAAAATATTTTTAGTTGTAGATGGACACAATATCTTTATTTTATTTATTTATCTTTTTATGTGGTTCTGAGAATCGAATCCAGTGCCTCACATGTGCCAGGTAAGCACCTCTGAGCCACAACCCCCGCCACAGGGACCTTGACTATCTGACCATCATGCTGATGGATCCCCAACACTCAGAATAGCATCTGACACCCAGGGCTCCATATATTTGTTTTGTTTTGCTTTGCTTTTTTTTTTCATTTAAAATTTCTCAAAGCACAATTGACATACAATAAAATGCATCCATCTGAAGTATACAGTTTGGTAAGTTTTGACAAATATGTACTCCTATTACTCCTAGCAAACTAGATCAAGAGTTCCTTTTTCTAAGCATTAGCTTGAACCCTGCTACCACCATTTCTCCCCAAAAATGAATGAATTGCCGGAACTGGCTCTAGGGTTTGGTGGGAGCTACTCACATGCATGCACAACACTCCACAGTTTATAATGCCTTTCCGCTTTTGACACCATGATTGCTTAGAGAGGTTAGGTGACATGTGACCATCCAGCTCCTTCCACCACCCAGCAGGTAACAGAGGGGAGGTCTGGGCCGGGTGCCAGGGTCCCTTCCGCACAACATGTCACTTCAGTCAAGAGGGCAGGTCTCTGGGCTGGGAACCTGGCATGCCGGGAGGTTTGTGGGTGCTCCAGGATCACGGCCCTGGCTACACAGGGAAGGCTGGGGAAAGACTGCTTGTGGCCCTGCCTCTTTCCCAACTGGGGCCTGGCTGAGGAGAGGCACTGGGGTGTCCAGATGCCAGCCAGCTCCAGCTGTCTCCTCCCTGAGCAGAGAAGTCCTCTAGTCTCTGTAGTTGGGGCTGCAGGAAAAATGAAATGAGGTTCCTAACATCACTTGCTTCTGGTTGTTAGAGAACATGAGACAGGGCGTCACGAGACCTGGCCACTGGCCAGATTTTGCCCTGGCCTTACTGTTCGCCTTTGGCAAGTCACTCTTTTTCTCGGGGCCACCTCTGTAGGAGGAAACTGGTAATCCCTGCCAGTGTGACTTCAGTTCCACCCGATGACTCTCTGCTGCTCTTCAGAGGCCAGTCGTGCATCCCCTCTCCCTGGAATACTGTTTCCTGGTATCTGCTGCCACAATTCTTGTTTTTTCAACTTTTAGCTCTGGTACTACCCTCTGTGACTGTCCTCAAAACAGAATGTTCTGCTCCTTCCTCAAGTTTCTCTACGTCCTTGAGGGCAGGGACCGTGAGGAATAATAGAATGACAGTTCTGTTTATTGAGAGATGACCAGCCATATGCCAGGCACCATGCCCAGATAACACGTGTTAAATGAGATAACACGAGGCACTGTGTTATCTCATTTAATTTTCTAACCATGCCTCCTTAATCCTAGTTGACAGAGGAGGAAAGTGAGGCTCAAATAGGCAGTGCCACTTGTCCAGGGTCATAGAGGGTAGGGCAGCTTGGGCTTTCTCATCTTTTCATTTCCAGCATCTTGCAGAGGGGATGGCACATGGATGTTTATCCTCTACCTGCTGAATGACTGGTGACTGGATGCATGAATGGGTCCACAGTGTGGACTGGTGCCAGTAGTGTTCACTGTTATCATTTGTTGCCTTATGCCAAAATGACTGTAGGAGCTGTCCAACGACAGGGTGGAAATGCACAGAGAAGGGGTGAGTGCTCAGTCACTGGGGATAAACAAGTAGCAACTTGATGGCCCTTGACAAGGACACAGGGCAGACCTGAGCATCAGCAGCCAAGGAAGGCCTCTGTCACCCCAGTCTACTCCTCCATGTCCTTGGGCAGTCCTGAAACTGAAACGCATTCCTTAGTTACTAGTGACCCACCCATGCCCAGCCCCACAGTCGAAGTACCCAAAGTCCATGCCAGCTCCTGGCTTTTCATTCCCACAGTCTTTTGCAAACTGTAAAGTGCTATTACTTTTTCCATTTCTAATCTGTCCTGTCCCACAAACTGTCTCTTAAATGAAATGCCCATATGCTGGACTGGAAGAATCCTCTCCTGGCACTGGCTTCCTGGTGCCTTTGGGTCCGAGCCCTCCGCGTCCCCCGCCCCATTTCCGTCCTTAGCTATTGTGCAAGACAGGCAGGCACACCTTCTGGGGTAGGTCGGGTCAAGGCCAGGGAACTTTGAAAGCGAGTGGCTGCTGGAGGGGCCGCAGCAGCAGTGCAGCGGCGCAAAAGCCGAATTCCGGCACGTCGGCCCAGGCGTGCCCATCCAGCAGCGCGAGGAGGGGAGGGGAGAGACCCCGGCTGCAGCCCCCGGCACCCCGTTCTTTCAGATTCCCCCACCAACCCCTTTCTTCGCTTCTGTCCCGTGCGGGGCGCGCTCTGCTGGTCTCTCCGGGGTGTCCTTTTCAGGGATCGTCTTTGTCTGGGTCTCCCGCGGTCCCGGCGTCCCCAGCCTGGTGCCCCGCCTGCCGCGGCGGGGGCGGGGGCGGGGCCAGGCGAGGGGGGAGGGGGCGGGGCTGGAGGCCGAGGCGGCCGCGGCGGGCGGACGCGGCTGGAGCTAGAGCCGAGGCCGTGGCCGGGGCGGCGGCTCAGCGGAGCGCGGGAGCGGGGCGGGGCGGACCGGGCTCCATGGCGCCAGCGGCGTCAGTCTGAGCAGCGCGGGCAGCGACTGGCGACGACCGGATCGGGCCGCGGCTCCTCCTCGCCATGGGGGACGTGCTGTCCACGCACCTGGACGACGCCCGGCGCCAGCACATTGCAGGTGAGGAAAGCGCAGCGCGTGCGGGGGGTTCCGCCGGGAGCCCCCGGGCCACGCCCCCACCGGGCCCCGCCGTCCTGGCCCGGGAGGGTCCTGCGAGAGTCAGGCCTGAGGCCAGGCGGGAGCTGGTGCGGACCGTGCCCTTCGTCTTGTTCCCTCCGAGACTGGGCACCCCTTCTCGTCCCCTTCTAAGCTCTTCTCCATCTTAAGGAGACTAGGACCCCGCCTTCACTACCGTAACTCCCGCGGGGCCCTCTTTGAGGATCCCCCACCCATTACCCCAGATCGAGCATCGAAGGGGTCGCATCCTGTCCCCGCACCCTGCCCAGCAGCGTTCCAAGCCCACCCTGTACCCTGTCTGGAATTTGCCCCACACAGTCAGATCGTCCCGACCCTTTTCCGTGGCTGCCCTGGCCCCAGCTCGCCCTGGCCCCAGCCCCAGTACACGTGGCTAAAGCTTCCAGAAGAAGGGCGCTCTAGGGCCCAGGACAGATCCGGACAGTGGGACTAGCGATAGACGGGGATTCGCTGGAGGGGGTGGGGTCTCTGTCCTTTGACTCAGACTCTGTAGGGTGCTCCTGCTGGCAGCAGCAGCCCGGATGGGCTGGTCAAGGCCAGAGCCAGCCCTTTCAGGTCCAGTCCGCAACCCCTTCCTTCGGCCAGCCCTGCTTTCAGCCTGTCACTGCTCTGTGGCCTCTTCTCATAAAGGAGCTGCCCAGAAAGCTCATGGGGGAAGCCCCAGGGTTCTGGGCTCCTCCTGGAGAATGGGAGATGGGGTGAGACTGTCAGGCTGATTGAGAACCCCTGCTCTGGCTGCCCTTCTGGGGCAGAGAGGCGGCCCCTGGTGGAGTCCAGCGTTTGTTTCCCAGGCATTCCATCTTGGACGAGTTTCTTAATGTCCTGGCACCTTGGCTTTTACCTCTTTGAAATGGCATCAGTGACACCCTTATGATGGGCTGCTGAGAGACCTAAATAAGCCAGTTCATGTAGCTTGCTTGGCACATGGCCTGGCATAGAGGAGGCACTGATACTGGGGTGACAGGTGAGTTGGGTGGCAGGTCATGTAGAGGAGAGTTTCTCTTGCCTCCGTTGCCGGCCTGTCTGGTGGACCCCACGTTCCCTGTCTGTGTATATTTATCTGGATGCCCTGTAGAGTTTCTCAGCTGTGTTCTCTGTCCTATCTAGATAGCAAGGACGCCTTAAGAGTAAGGACCAGGTGTTCCTTAACCTCGAGTCCCCAGGTCCCCACCCTGGTTGGGCACAAGGGAGGTGCTGGAGGAGCCCTGCCAGGGACTGTAGCCTTTGGCTGGTGGCCTGAACTCTCTTTTGTGCCAGGCCCGGGCTGGGCACAGGGGCAGGGATGATATAAAATGAATCAGACCCTTTAGCCTCTGACCAGTGGGGGGGGGGGTTAAGTCCTGGAAGCCTCTTGCAGGAGGAGGCCTGGACTCTGGAAGGAGGAAGGGCCTGGGCGGAGCTTTCCTGTCGGTGGCAACCTCCTGGGGCTCAGTAACAGTCCCTCCATTCAGGACCTCCTGTTGGGGCCCTTCACCAGGCTTGGGTGGGGTGTGCAGGTCTTTGGCGGGGTTTTTTCCTCTCTCCAAGCCCAGCTCAGCTCTCCCATCTTCCCAGCTCCTGGGCTGAGAGCTGCCAGGCCACCCCCTGTCGCCCTGGCCACTTACAGGGTGGAGACAGCCACAGAAGGTGAAGTGTCCGCTGCTGGAGAAGGCTGGGTTTGTTACCAGGCTGGAGAGGAGAAGGTTTGCAGCCTCTCCTCCCAACACTTGAGTGCTATTAATAACTCTCTTCACATGCCTCGGATTCCGGACAGCTCACCTGAGGGGGCTCCTGAAGTTCAGGGCTGGGGAGGGGACTGCTGGGAGGGGAGCCAGAGGAAACAGCTGCCCTGGAAATCTACTGGAGAGGAATGAGGCCAACCTTTGCCACCTCGAGCCATCCGTGCACCCGCCTCAACCAGCTAACAGAGCAGTGGGTACTTCCAGAGCAGACAATTAGAACTCCAGATCCCTCCCTACCTGGGACGACGGCCCCTGTAGAAATGTCACCTCTGGGAACATGCCTTCCCACAGTGCCTTGAGCTCCCAGGCCTGTTGGGTTGCTGTGGCTTGGCCTGCCGCCTTACGCCTGCCCAGAGCAGGTGCAGGTGAATGCCAGCCTGCAAGTCCTGGCAGAGGTCAGGCCTGCCCCTGCCCACCCTGCTGTTTTTGCACCTTTCATCCTGAGATTTCAAAGCCTCTGGCAGGCAGGGGCTTGTTCCTGCACCAGCAGCCTTGGAGCTGTCGCAGGATGGTTACCTCCTACCTAGTAAGGGAGAGGGAAGAGTCCTGGCCTGGGAGCCCTCAGACCTGAGTAACCTCAGGCATCTGGGCCTTGGTTTCCAGAGCTGTGTGCTACCAAAGACCAAAGTCCCTTTCAGCTCTAGGGCCTAACCATTTCAAATTTTCTCAAGAAATCTCCAGACTCAGCCAGCTCAAGGCCCCAATATAGACTTCAACAAGCCTTAGTTGGCCTGACCTTGGGCCAGCATCTCAGTCTCAGTTTTCTTATCTATAAAATGGGAATAATAATAGTAGCTACCTGCTAGGCACACCTGGGAGGACTTAATGTGATAAAGCAGGTAAGAAGCTCAGCCAAGTGCTGGGGGCTTAGGAAGCTCTCAGCAAACAGTTGCTACTGTCTTTCAACTTGCACTTTACTTTGTGTAAGTGGGTTCTCGGGGAGCAGGGCAAGGGGCTAGTGTCATAGCTGTGGTTTCTCAGAGGTTTGTTCAATTCCTAGGGTCAGGTGGGCAGATCCCGGGATTTGAGAATCCACGTGGGTTTTTGGAAGCCTTGACTGCTATGTTCCTTCAGCCTTGGCAAAAAGTGTGAGTGATGTGGGCTCTTTGGAACGGGTCCAGATGCTAGGGCATATGATGAGTGGCACGAGCTAGAACTTATACAGGTGGCTGGATTAGGACAGCCTACTCTTTCCCTTTGGGCCCTTTTATGGGGGGTCCCGAGCTGTCTGAGGGATTCTATGCAAATGATCTGAGCTACATAAAGTAAGATGCCACAGGTGACTGGGTGAGGGTTGGGGACTGTGTCCCTAGTAGGACACCTGGCATTACCTGGGTTGGGGGAATCCCTTTCTGTGTCTGGGACAACCCGGAGGACTCAGCCCACCCCACATACTCTGTAAGGTTTGCAAGGTTTATCCCTGAGAGGGCGGGCGTTCCCAGCACCTGTGCTTGTGAATGCTCCGCCTCTCTGCAGGTCTTACCTTTCCCCTGGCTAGGTCTTTTCTTTTTTAATAGCAGCTTTATTGAGACATAATTCACATAGTGTACAATCCACCCACTGAAACTGTACAATTCAGTGGTTTTTAGTATATTGATGATTGCGCAACCGTCGCCACACTCAATTTTAGAACATTTTCAACACCCATAAAACAAGCTCCGCACCCAGGGGCAGTCTCTGTCCTTTCCCCACAGTCCTCCAGACTCCAGGCAACCTTTGCCTTATTGCAAAAGTAATGCATGCAGCAACGGAGGCCAGGAAGGTAGAATAGGAGTGCTCCACCGGGTGTGGTGGCTGGGGATCCAGCTCCGCGGTAATCCCAGTGGTCAGGAGGCTGAGGCAGGAGGATTGAGTTCAAAAGCCAACCTCAGCAATTTAGCAAGGCCCTTAGTAACTGAGCAAGACCCTGTCTCTAAATTAAATATAAAAAAAGGCTGGGGATGTGGTTCAGTGGTTAGGTGCCTCTGGGTTCAATTCCCAGTACCAAAAAACAAAAACAAAAACCCCTAAATGGGAGCTCCTCCATCTTCCTTCTCATGCATCCTTCCCTGGGAAGAAATGATTTGTTTGGCTTGTCACCGATTCCAAACATACCTTTCCTGGTGTGCACTCATTCACAGAGCCTTGTTTATAATGGAGATTCTATTCTGTGTTTCTGTGGTTTGATTTTTTTCCACTGGTAAATTGTGGACATCTTCCCATATGGGATACACAAGCCTGCCCCTTTCTTCAGTGGTGGGTCCATGTGCCGGGGTGGTTTATTTAGCCAGCCCCTGGTAATTGGCGTTGGGTCGTCCTTTGCTAATATGCGCAGGGTGTGGCTTGAGCCTCTTTGTAAATATCCTGCACAAGAAGCTGGTATCATGCCTCAAAATGGAACTCCCAGGAAACATTTTGATATATTGACACAGAGCCTTTGGAAAGGTGGGGAAGACCCTCTTGCCAGACAAACCTCAGTATTGTCACTTGATGGAACCCATGGCCGGGCAAGTGCTCTGCCACTGAGCTAGATCTCCAGCCCTTTTTGACCACTGGATAAGAGGAAAAAGGTATCCTGTTTATTTATTGAGTAAAACAAATAATGACTTTTTCCAAATGGATTTAAAAAAATCTCCTCCACATGTGGGAGTGGCTACAGTTGCCAGAAGAAAAGGGATGCTGTTCTGCTTTCGGGGCCACCCCTGCCCTGGTATGGGGCTTCCTGGGCTTTGCAGAGAGGCCTGGAGGGGAAGCAGTGCCCAGGCTGCCCCCTGCCAAGGTCTGGGTCAGCCCCTGGAGTGAAGCGTCTGGGGACCTGGCTCCCTGGGGCCCAGTCTTACATAAGCCCTTTTGTTGGCTTCGACCCCGCCCTCCCCTCACCCAGTCTCCTGAAGTCCTCTACTCTGTTCCTCTCCTACTGCCCTGGCCTGAGCTCTGACCTCCTGGGGGCCTCCCGCCTCAGCCCCAGGCCTTCCCACACAGGATGCCAAAAGAGACCTTTCTCAACTCCAACCCGGCTGGCTGCCCTCCCTGCTGCGGGAGAGGGGAGAGGAGCCGCTCACCCCGCCCTGCCGCCTCTCCCCTCTTGTAGTATTTCCCTCCTGAGTTTATTTTATATGTTGCTGAGACTGTGACTCAAGCCTGGATCTTGCTTCTTTTCTAAACGATTTGTAATAAACATCTCTCCCAGGTCCTTCGAGCCTCCCTGGAAACACTCTGGGTGCTGGATCTTATTCCATCTCAGGATAGACAGGCATTTTCTTAGCTTTTCCCCAAATGCTGGTTATTGGTTGTCTCTTCCATGTTGGTTTCTGGGGCAGGCGGAGTCCTGGTGTTTGTCTCCTTTCTGGTGCTGGCCAGCCTCCCTGCTGAAGAAGGACATGGTGAAGGCTGACTCTGCCTCCCCTGTGTCCACCCCTCTGGACATTTTGAGGGAGCCCTGGACACCTCTGAGCGTCCTTTTAGAGCTAGTGGCTTAAAGCAGCTGCCATGAGCTGGGGACGTGGACCCATGTCCAGTAGCCGCTTCCCTGGCCTGTGGCACGCGGGGACTGATGCATTTCCTGTCTGAGGGTGGTGGTTGATGGAGTGGGGAGGGGCAGTCGTCGGGCTCTGAGTGATAACCTAGACTAGCTGTCTGTGTGTGTGTGTGTGTGTGGTGCTGGGGGTGGAACTCAGGACCTAGCACATGATAGACAAGTGCTCTACTACTAGACTACATCCCCAGCCTCCTGATCCACTTTTTTAGTGTGTAGGGGGTGGGCAGATCCGGACTTCCAGGCATCATACAAAGTAGGCAGGTGGCAACCTTAGCGGTAACCTTTACCAGCTCAAAAATAAATCTAACATTTAGCGGTTAGGATTGGGATGTCACCATGAATCGATATTTTTCTTACTCATAAGATAATACTAACTATCCTTTAACTGAGCACTTACTCTGTGCCTGGATTGTCTCATTGAATTCTCATGTCTGTGGCAGGCCAGGACTAGGGAGGGTGTTTCAGGCCTAAGGCACTGAAGCCATGCACCACTGTGGCCTATAGCTCCTGGTACCCAGATTGATCAGGTGGGGGTCAATATGGAAAAGGCCCCTAAGAGAGCAGATGTGGCCTAGGGAGGGAGGAGGAGGAAGGGCTGAGTGGGAGCAGAGCGTTGTGTGTCAGAGGCTCCTGTAGGTGCGTGAATACATCCCACCCGGCATTACTCAGCGTGAGGTGCACAGTCTCTTTGCCGGGTCCTGTTTTCCTTCAGTCCCCCCCCCCCCCCTTCTCCCCGCAGGCAGAGCCCGTGACTCATTCAGCTTGGTCTCTTCGCAGCAGGATGAAGCATCATCCCTGTGGCCGCAGAAATTCCTGAGCTGGTTTTCCTTCCCCTGCCCCACCCCGTCCACTTCCCTGCCTGAGGAAGAGGGGTTTTCTGCAGCTGGGCCTGGGCAGGGAGGAGGGCAGAGGCCTGGGTTTAAAACCCTCTAGGGGGGGGCAGAGCCTGCTCCTCTCCTGGTAGAGTCTTGGGGCCTGAGTCACGGGAAGCTGCACAGAAGATCGCACAGATTTTAAAACTGGAAGAACAGGAAGTGCCCGCCTGTGAGGGAACCTACTCCACCCCCTGGGTCTAGTCCCCTTTTGGAGATGTGCTGCCCAGGCTCATAGAGCTGAAGGGACTGCCTGGCCACACAGTGGATGGGAGCTCTGGGGCAAGGCTCTGCAGCCAGGTGGCTCGGACTCTACCCTGGCTCTCCCACCAGATGGACTGGCGTTTGGGGGCAGATTGGATCCTCTGTGAGCTTCAGGTTCCCCTGTAAAAGACGATGACAGTTCCACCTTCTGAGGGTGTGAGGATCAAGTGTGACAGCCCCTGGACAGGCAACACAGGGCCAGTAGTGGGTGGTAAAAATACCATGAGTGACAGTTTTTGTGATTGTTACTTTACTGAGCAAACTTGATAACCAGGCAAATACGCCAGGTCTGTCCTGAGCCCTCAGGCATGCCCAGCACCTGCCATGCACCTGGGAATGTGGGCAGGCCCCAACTGGAGGACCACCTGCTTATGGTCCTGAGCACCTGTTTTCAGCATGTGCCTGTAGGGCCGAGAGATGGCTGAGGTCACACAGCGAGTCAGCTGTTCAAGAGCATCATCCACTGGCACTGGGCAGGTCACGAAGGAAAGGGGTGAAAAGACAAGTAGGAGTGCACAGCCCTACACCCCTCACTTGGCCACGTGTCCAGAATTAGACCCATATACCTTGAGCCTGGTCCCATTGACCCTTTGCTGTGTGACACTGGACCAGTGCTTATGCCTCTCTGTGACTTTTATCCTCATCTGTGACGTCAAGACCAACTTGTGCTCTTGAGAATTCTCTGCCTCTGAAACCCTTTCCGAGGGGTCTCAAGGTGCCGTCTGAGACCAGGAGCAGGTGGGTCCTTGTGTGGAAATAGGGGTGCAGGCCTGTGAGGCCTTCGGGGGTGATGGGCTCTGGCCCCAATGCACGTGGTTGGTCTTTCATCCACTCAGGAGTAGCCGGGAGCCCTGGGAGGGAGCCCTGGGAGCCCAGGGAAGGACAGAGCACTTGTGCAGCATTGGCAAGGCCCACGTTGGATCCTCAGCACTGAAAACCAAATGTTACGGAGCCCTTCCTGTGCCAGGCCTGTGCTGGGGACACTGGCACACAGATTCCTCCCTGGTCCCTGCCTGGCTGGTGCTTCCTGGCTGACTGGACTGTTCTCAAAGGTCAAGGTTTAAGAGGGGACTGGCCCCATGGGTGCGGGTGGGCCCACCTGCCGGGGTGGAGGGATGGGGATGTGGAGGGAGCCCTGGCGCTGGCCTTAGACAGGAGAGGGCTGTGTCTGGGTCCTGCCCCCCCCCCCCCCCAGTGCTTCAGGCGGAAGTGGTACAAGGCGGGGGTGATCAGCTCCTCCTCCCCTGGGATGAACCCAGTGGTGAGAGGAGGCCTGGGCCATGCAGGTGGGGGTGGGGCAGAGTCAGGCGACCTGTATGTATGGGGCATGGAGTGACCAGGCCTCTGACCGTGACTTGAGCGTGGGGGTTGTCTGATGTCCATTAATTTTGGCCCACAGGGTTGACGGATCTTCTGCAGGGCTGGCAGGTCCTGCAGGATTTGGGGTTATTTTTCAGTGCAGGGGATTGAATCCAGGGGTATTTTACCACTGAACCACACCCGCAGCCCTTTTTGTTTTTTGAGAAAGGGTCTTACTAAGTTTCCCGGACTGGCCATGAAAGTCTTGTGATCCTCCTGCTTCTGCCTCTGGAGTCACTGGGATGACAGGTCCCAAAGCCTTGGTTTCTGCTTCCTGTCTTCCTGGACAGCCAGAGATTGAGAACCTTCTTCCCTTCCATGGGCGGAGGAGAAAGAGGGCTGGTATCTGAGAACCTGGTTTTGAACTCCTGCCTCCATTACCCTGTGATCTGGAGATGCCCTCTCTTTTCCAGGCCTCAGGCTCCTCATCTGTAAAAGGCATAAGAGTAGCTTCGTCCTGCTAGGTCATTGTGAAGGGTCAGTGAAACAATGTGGCTGAGCTCTTTGATTTTTCAGGAAACACTGGCTCCTGGTGTTATTAATGTGGTGTAGAGGTCCGCAGTAGGACATGATTGAGGGAGCCCCGCCTCTGGGGGACATCAGAAGTGTAGGGTGTGGCTGAGACAGAATGATCACAAGTTGGAGGACAGGTTCAGCAATTTAGCGATACCCTGTCTCAAAATAAAAAGGAAGCTGGGTGTGGTGGTGCACACCTGTCATTCCAGTGACTCTGGAGGCTGGGGCAGGAGGATTGCAAATTCAAAGCCAGCCTCAGCAACTTAGTGAGGCACTTAGCAACTCAGTGAGACCCTGTCTCTAAATAAAATCCAAAATAGGGCTGGGGATGTGGCTCAGTGGTCAATCGCTCCTGGTTTCAACCCCCAGTACCAATAAACAAACAAATAAATAAATAGGGCTGGAGATGTAGCTCAGTGGTAGTGGCACTGCGTTCAGTCCCCTATTACTCCCCTTCAACCATGTAGGGCCTGGAGCAGAGCGCTGGGTGCAGGGTCTACCTGCAAGAGGGGGACCCAGCGATACCCGGGCATCCAGGAGGCAGAGGAAGAAGGAATTGTGATTTGTAAAATGCAAATCCTAATTTTCTTCCTCACCTACCAGGAGCCCTTTGTGGGGTGCTGACTGGGAAGCAGGTGCCCCAAGTTGATGCCCGGTGACCTTGTGGCGAGTCCTCTGCCCATCTGCCCCTCCTCCTCACTTTGCCTTCCCACAGGCCTAGGGCTGAGTCGAAGGCACAGAGCAGGTAGGACAGATGTCTGTTGCGTGAGGTGGCCTTGCTGTCAAAGGAGGAACTCGTTCTGAAAGCAGGATTGTGCCCTGGGGATGAAACAGTGACCTGAGCCCTGCTTGCATGGAACCAGTGCTGGCCGAGAAGGTTCCATCCAGCCGGGTGAGCTGTGCCTTGTGTTACAGAGACACTGATGAGCCCGGGTTGGGTTTCTGCATTCATCCCTGCTCAAGAGAGTGCCTGGGCCTAGCTGGGTGGCCACAGGGTTCCTGCAGGGGACATGTGTGGCCTTGGGCTAGTTGCTCTTCTCCTCAGAGCCCCTGTTGCCAGTAGTAAGTTGGGACTGGTGTCCCTGCCTGAGTCGTTGGAAGGTTCTGGAAGATGCCATACATAGTTCCTGGCCTCTGTAAATGGCAGTTGTGCTTTAGCTGTGTTCTTGGGGAGCCATGTGGCATTGGCCCTGGACTGTCAGGGGTCTCAAGGGTGATGCAGACATGGTGGAGGGGAGCCCGCTGATAGTTAGGTTTCAGTTTTGCCCCCCACCCTTTTTTTTGGTGAGGATAGTGTTCTTTGGAAGGTGAAGGGGTGAAAAGAGAACAGAGCTTAGGCTTGGGGAGGGTGGGCCCTGCTGGGCCATGGGAGCGTGACTTGCATGAAGGGGGCTCGCAGAAGACTGCCGCAGGCCCTGGCCTTGAGCTTGGGGCAGCTGATTGGCAGTGGCTGAGTTTCTTTCTCTGGCTCAGACCCCTCCTCAGCCAGGAAGGCCCCTTTGAAGCCCTCTAAGCAGCCCCGTCTGTATGTCATTATTGGTCAGCAGAGGCCAGAGAAAGGAAAGGGCAGGCCCAGGACCTTAGATACTGCAGGGGACCAGGACTCCCCACCCCAGCACGAGGCCCAGATGGACCGGCCCAGACAACAAAGGCAGGGTCAGGAGGCCTGGCTGGGCTGGGAGGGGCTGCCAAGGTTATAATTTTGAAAACCGAGTAAACAAACAAGCCCTCGGTGAGAGAAGCAGCCCTGTGTGTGAGGACACAGCCCAGGACACCAGCCCTGTGTGTGAGGACACAGCCCAGGCCTGTCCACAGCAGACAGCGAGGTGCTGTGTCTGGTTAAAAATAGCCAGAGCCTCTCCTCTCCACCCCCACTCCCATATTTAAGGCTGCCAGGAAAAGGGGAGGGGGAGATGGCAGGCCTTCCTTTCTGGGAATGGGGCCCCACCCCCCAGGCTGACCACTGGGACAGCCCTCTGGGCTCAGCTTGGGACAGTTGCAGCTCACTGGGTAACTTTGGTCAAGGTACGGCTCCCCTCTGGTCTCAGTTTCCCCATTTCAAAGTGGGGGTGAATAAGCAAGGCCTTTCTCTTGCCCCGACCTGAGGCCAGCTGGGATCTCAGAAGATCTTCATTTCTTTTTGGCCAGAGGCAGGCGCCCCCTCCTTGGAGCAGAGGGGTTGCTTTCTCAGTGACCCTATAGTCTGCCCGGCCCTGGAAGGGTAAACCCCCAATTCAGGCTGGACCGGGCTGTGCTGTCTGGGCTTTCCTGTTTTCCTGTTGAGATTGTGGTGCAATCTGAGAGAAGCTGCTCTAGGTTCTGCCTGCAGCCTGGGGGCTGGGCAGCTCTCCTGGCCT